AAAGACAACACCTTTTGAAAATGAATGAAATCAATTTTAAAAAAAGTAGGATTTTTCGCTCACCATGCAGTTTCTCTGAAGGCTGTTCCACTCATCTACAGCCCACTTCACAGCTTTCTCATAGTAAGGAAAATTGTGATTGAAGGTGATATGACCTCCCATATCCCAAAGGAAACCCTTCTCATCCTTTACCGTGCATGAAAGTCCACCGGCATAGGCTTCCTATAAGGATAAACAGAATAACGACTTAAATATTAAAATGTGATAAAACGAAGACATTACCTTTTCAAGGATTACCATTTCAACATCTTCGGCATTTTCCTCCTTTTCCTGGATCAGTTCATTGAGACGAAATGCTGCTCCCAAGCCTGTCGGTGCCGCTCCAATGCAAACGATGCGCATACTAAAATAAGTAAACAATCTAAAAGCGATCTATTATATTTCAGTAGATTAGGAAATGGTTTCAGATCTAAAATAAGGTGAATTATGCTTTGAAGGAAGAGGAAGAAATGTGCGTTTTGCAGTTCATTGAAGTTTTCCGGATAGATTCCTAAACTCTTTCAAACGATTTTCGTTTGAGACTTCTGTGCTTGATCTTGAAGTGAAGAAAATGAAAATTTAGATTTGGACGGAATGAACTCTAGTGGAAAATTGGACAATGAACTAAGGACAATTTTCACTAGATAGAGGCGACCGATGAGAAAGTGAATGTTGCAATGCCGAAACGATATGATCTGACCCACAAACCTAGAAATTTATCGCTTCGAAGAAAGTGAAACTTCTTGAGAGCTGATCACAGTGGACCATGTCGTTCGAAGTAGATGCCGTGTTGAAATCTGCTAGAGAATCTAGAACTACCAAGGCTATGTTTATTTTAAAAGAAATTTCAATATTTTCGTTCTGTTGAGGCCAAACGCCAAATACAACTACTTTGTTGATGTTATGGACACTTTGTTCATCAATGCTCTGGTATAAGCGGTAGCTTAAAGATATTCTCCCCCAAAATTAACTTTCCATTTTTTTACCTTTTCGGGCCTTTTCGCCATGCTAAATCCATATCTAGGCTTTTCAGCGCATGACTACGGCCAAAATAGCTTTCTTGAAGCTCTTCATAGCCATCTTCGCTGGAAAATACGTGTAAAAGGGCGGGGACCAAAAGGAGGAGACTGAGTCCAGAAGCTTTTC